TTAATATTAATTACGGAGTAATCATTTAGTATAATGTATAATTATGGGGGACTATATAAGAAAAGCATAGAGAATATTAATTATATAAGTTGAAAGAGGTTGGAGTAGTGAGATAGATCCGCTATTGACGAGTTCAAAGGATTTTTAATTTTCCTTTCAGGAATTTCTTTGCACTTACACATGAAAAGGACAAAATTAAATTAACCAACCTGAATAACGCAAGCATAATTATCCAATCCATATACAAACATCAGCGCGTTCTGTGTGCGGCTTGCCACACTATATACGTAGCCGCTTGTTAAAGAACAAATAACTCCTATAACACTAATTAAGCAACTCTCAATGGCGGATGTTTAAAGGCGCTTGTGTGGGCTTGGCCCCTGAAGCAATTGGAATATTTTGTTAATCAAAGAATATAATACATGGCAATTTGCATGCCAATTGACAGAAAAAGGTTAAAATGTTAAAATATCAAATATTTATTTATTTACATGTTTTTTAGCACAAAATTGAAATTTCATTTAATTAGTTTGAGTACTCAATCTTAAGTTGACAATAGTATTTACCAATCATTAATAAATCATGAATGTACTTAATTTTATATTAGTAAGAAAAAAATTCAAATTGATAATTTAAAGGTATATATTGAGACGTCACTACTAATGGTTTGAAAATAATTTGAAAATAGATTAATCTAATAAATTCTTACACGACTATGTATTTTTCTTTTTTATATACAATTAATGGTCAACAAAAGGTATGTGAATAGTGGAATGTCCAATTATTACGATATTTGAATGAACTATTCGGGAAAAATGTATTTTTAATTATTTATGTTTATCTTAACTAACTTTAAGTCTTGTATATATACTACGTACATTCTATCTTAGAACATATCGGCCCCTAAAAGGAAAGGTATGAAGACCCGTCACTGCTTACAACACTAACGAAGTAACCCCATAAAGCCATGATGATTGACCATACGGTATGGCCAACCACATATAACAGTTGGTGTACAGACATAGATTATAACACGCTTTATATAACTTTGATTAATAGCATAAAATAGACAACACAAGCCAGAATTCCAGAAATGGAAAAAAGAAAAGCCGAGCATAGTTTTAACATAATATAGAATAAGATCTAATTTTCGAAATCAAGTTGAGTTTTGTGCTAATTTGAACTTGAATTTTTAAGGCTGACAAAGCTCGTGATTCGACCCAAAAAAAAGTGTAACGAGCCTAGCTTGAGGCTCAAGTTAGATCTTGGGTCACTCAATAATTACATACTTGAAAAATATACGAAGTATTTATAACATCGCAATTCCTAGTGGGCTTAGTGTGCCAAAAACTCTGTAATTGTGTAAGCATCTAAGCAAGACCATAAACCATGGATATGGCATGATCGTGCTAGGCTTCTTTACATAGAACAAAGCATCCAGGATGAAATCAAGAAGAGTGTTTAAGGACATAATGATTGTACTAATCATTTCATAAAAGCCAATTAAAGGCCATAATAAATTGCATAAATCATGATTAAGAATAGTAAGAGAAGGGGAAAAAATCAAATAAAAAAATGTTTTACAAAAATAAGAAAAGTGTAGAGGATTAATTCTTCCTAATTCTTTCCCCACAATAATATTTTATTTTTTATTTTATTTTATAGATTTGCAATACATTTAAGTGAACTTAGGTAGGTAACGCATGCAATGCGTGCGACATAGGTACTCATATTCGAAGAGATTTTTCAATTTGTCTTTATGTCACAACTTTAGTTGTTGAAAATGTTAATTAAAAAATATATATAAACAAATATTTTTAGGGATATAAATGTCCACACACTATTCTTAAGAGTTAAAAAAAGAGACAATTAACATTAATGAGGACAATTAAGTAAAAAAACATTTTAGAGGATATAATTGTCCAAACACTATTTATAAGAATTGTCTCAACAGATAGGGATTCAACAATAAATTTATTGCAAATCTATAATTTAAGTGAATTCAACAACAATATTTAAATTTATTTTACTTTACCTTAAAAGTTAGCAACTTAATGTGTGTAAACTTATAAAATGATCCCCATAATTTCAATAGTCACATGCCTAATTGCCTACTAGTAGTATAAGGGCAATGCACACACAAATGTTACTAAATTATTTGAGTATGCATAATTAAAAATCTCTTAAATCTTTGTTCATGAAAAAAAACTACACATATTCAACTTTTACTTGTATTCAACAACAATAAACATATTAGTATAGGTTAAACTTGTGACGTGGACCTGCTACATACAAAGTACGAGTATTAAAACATAGATGGCAAAATAAGTTATTGGTTTTTTAATTAATTAATACGGGATAGTTTTTGTTAACAAATGATCATTTATATTTATAGCCAATTGCATATTGACAGGTATGTTATTGTATGTATTTAGGAACGAATGGAGTTACTTATGATTAATTAATAAACATACAAATATTAATTTAAACAAATATTATACTTTTGACGGAGGACCTCTTATATAGAAACATGATTGGTAAATTAATAATTTCAAGTATTAGTAACTATCAATTATCTTAACAAGGTTCACAGTCTTATCTAAATTCAATACTTTAAAGACATATTAGTCAATTCAAGTAGTGAATCGAATGGGCCCGCCACGGGCCCAACCAACTATCATTAATGAAAAACTAGACAATGACAACCAAAACTCAAACTTGTTAGAAAAAATAGGATATACATATACAATGAGTCAATCACACATCTTCCTAGTTGGAGCTTGCATGTTAACCACCAACGTTGTGTTCTTTGGTATAACTGACACATATGAGTATATGACAAATGTTTGGGCCAAATGACGTTCCCTTTTTAATCACAATTAAACAGCTAAATTTTAATCATAAAGTCTAATCTATCATTATCTTTAATCGTAATATATACAATGTTTTTACTTTATTTGGTCTAAACGTGAAATGACTGAAGAGTAAAATAAAGTTGCTTAATGACACAACTTGTACATAAATATGACAAAGTCGGCCGCTTGAAAGAGACATTATATTAGACTTCTTTGATTTTATAACTTCTTATACTTATATTAGATTTTAATCAACTTCAAAACTAAATTAAATTATCCATTTGATCTTATTGATGATTTTGATTTTGGGAGAATACAAAAAACAGTCGCAAAACTCTAGGAGCCGCTATAGTACACTTGCCTTCACACACTTTGCCGAAGCTTTGCCCTATAGAGTTTAGGCTTCCGTCTAAGGAGGTGTTCGGCAATAGTTTTTGACAAAATAAGTCAGTAAATATTTAGCACATAGGTCGGAAAATGAATTTGTTTATTACTTCATACTTACTGACTTATGTACTTAAATTTGTTCTCGATCATTATCACTATTCATAACTGAGTATCAAACTGGCCGTTACTCTCGTTAGTGTTTTAATTTTTAGATTTAACATTTAGTGTTCTGAATGATAGTATTTGGCTAGCTGATGATATTTCTATTTCATTCTCAAAAGTTAACAAAAGTAGCTTTTAAAATATTTCATAAGATAATATGTATTTATAGATGGAAAACCTTTTTTTTTCTTTTTTTTTTGGCGAAAAGTAGATATTAATGGGAGATTTATTTAGGATTTGTTCTCTTCAACTTATTTCAGATACTTATTACTTATTTTTTAATAAATTCATATCAGACCAGACCAAGTTAAAAACATTCAAATAAGATCATATCAGAACTTTTAATTATCATTTACTTATTGCTAAATATCGTTAATTGCATATTACAAAAATTTATGAAAATTGCACATAATGAGACGAATCTAACAAAATCCATTTTGATAATGTTTTTCTTTATAGATTAGTATTAAAATACAGTCAAAGTTTAGCCAAATTATCAAATCAGATCAGACCAAATAATAAAAATTCAGATTAGACCTTACTAAAATCAGACTAGCTAGATCTCATTGTTTTAGGTAAAGAGAACATGTTCTTACTTTAGTTGTATCAATATAATATCACATATATATGATATTACTCTTATATTATCATATCAATATACTTGTGATCTAGAAAATTGAATATAATTTATGAGGATCAAAATGTTATCAAATCATATATTTAATACTTCCTCCATTCTTTTTTTATCGCATCACTTACTACTTTAGGAAGTTTACTTATTATTGCATCATTTTCTTTTTAGGATAAAAAATATCTATGTTCACACTGCAAATACCCAACATACTCTTACTTTTTCACACTTACTTTTTATTTTATCTTACATTACATGAACAAATTTGTATTTTTATGTTTCTCTCTCTTACTTTTTTCCACTACCAAATTTTGCCTCCAAAACTCTATGATGTAATAAAAAAAAACGGAGGAAGTATATAATAAAACTCTCCACCTATTACATAGATTTTATAATCAATAAGTATTTGTTTTTGTTGAAACTTATCATAACTTATCCCCTCAAACATAGAAATTGCCAATTTAGGTAATAATAATCTTAGAAATCATTATTATCTTCAATCCAATTACTAAAATAAGGTATCATACTCTCGAGTGCAGTTAGACTTTAGAGTGATATTATGTGTTTAGTTCCACGATATACCGCACATCTTTAATAACACCATCATTTAGGTACACCCACATGTATAATTCCGAATATAGCATATTGCTAATTTGCTACAATGTCCTTTATTTACCAAAAGTTACTCATAATCAATGGCAAGTAACAACTTCCATAGTTGATATCATAATTACTATAGCTTCGGATACTCTTGCATGTTTTTTACACGTGTCGAGTTTTAAGACTAGTCTTCCGCTACTCGAACGCCAACTTTGATTCACAAAGAAAAAAAAAAAAACTGCAACAAGAAACAACGTAATTTCCGCTGAAACAAAAAATAAATAAAAATTAATTAACCACACAAACACATAAAAAAAATAAAAATAAAACAAGTCTTCTTCTTCTTCAACAAAATTCTCTCTCCTCTTTTCAAGGGTTTCTTAATTTTTCCCTCAAAATTCTCTTCATCTTTCTCTTTCCTCCACTTTCTCTCTCTATCTTCACTCTCTACAAAAAAACCCCTCTTTTTCCTTCAATTTTCATTATATTTTTATTTATTTATCTATTTATTTATTTTCTCTGAAACTAATTATTACTCGTCCAAAAAAAAAAATAAAAAATTGACGAATTTGAAGAAGAAGAAAGATGTTGCCGTCGTTGTCGTTATCGTCTTCTTCGTCCTCTTCAGCTACGAGTCGAGTTGATAAGGCTACCAGCGAGCTTCTTGTTGGTCCTGATTGGACTTTGAATATTGATATTTGTGATTTTTGTAATTCTAATCACTGGTAATTTCTTTTTTTTTGTTTGACTTTTTGTAAATTTTTTGATATTTTTTTTTAATGATTTTGTTGTTATTATTTAGTATTTTGAGCGATTTTCTGGTGAATTTTTTATTATCTATTTTGATTCTGAGTTTGTTCGTTCAATTAAAATTTTTCTACGATTTTTGGTTAATTTATTAATTATTGCTGTTCGGATTATTATTATTATTATTTTTTTTTTTTTTTTTAAGGTATTGAGTTTCTTTTAATGTGCTGTAACTCGAACCATCCGAAATTGTAGATTGTTTGTAGAATTTTGTCAAATAAAAATAAGGTTAAATTAAAAAAAATTATTAAAAATAATCAAAAAAATCTCTGATAATCAACCACTAATTTAAAACATATAAAAAAATTGTCTGTTAAATTAATATATAAAAAATTGAAAAAAATTTATTTAATTTTTTGAGTATTCTGTTACTCATTTTTGGATATTTTGGAAGAAATTTTAGGGTTGAAAGTGTAATTGAAGAAGACTGATGTTTTTGCTTGTTGAATAATTAGGTTGGCGAAAGACGTGGTGAAAGAAGTGAAAAGGAGATTGCTGAACAAGAATCCTAAAGTTCAATTGCTTACTTTAACGGTATAATTTGTTACCTTTTGTTCTTCCTTTTTACATGTTTTATTGATTATAATTGTACTGATTTATAAAGTGGTGTGTTGTAGCTGTTAGAGACTATGATTAAGAATTGTGGCGAGTATATACACTACCACATTGCTGAGCGAAAGATATTGGATGAGATGATCAAACTCGTAAAGAAAAAGGTATATTTTTGAGATTGTCGCGAAATACTTTTGTACAATATCATGCAAAATTGGCAAATTCAACTAATTGTATCGTGAAATACCTTTGATTGTCATGTACAATATCATGCAAATATGGCAAGATCAACTTAATAGTACTCCGTATCATACATACATGCAATACTTTTGATTGTGATCAATTTTATTGTTCAATATGTTATGAAATTTAATGAATGAAATACCATATTTTGCTGTTATCACTGGAAAATTGGCAAAATCAACAATGGTATCATGAAATACGTTTGATTTTCATGTATGATATCATGCAAAAATGGCCAGATCAACTTATAGTATCATGCATTCATGCAATACTTTTGATAGTGATGTTCAATTTTATGGCTCATTATGTTATGAAAATTAATGAATGGAATACCATCTTTTGCGGTTATCACTGGAAAATTGGCAAAATCAACCAATAGTATCATGAACTAGTTTTGATTTTCATGTACAATATCAAGCAAATATGGAAAGGTCAACTTATAGTATCATGCATTACTTTTGATTGTGACATTAAATTTTATGGTTCATTACGTTATAAAAATTAATGAGTGAAATACCACCTTTTGCTGTATATGATTCCTCTTCCCAAGAAAGTCAAAGAGAATGTTAAGAGGAATCATACTCCAACACCCTGCTGCAGAACGAGTGTCACGTGTCGGATCCTTTGACACTTTGACAAGATATGAAGCCCTAATATATAGTGGCCTTGTATGAAATTTTATAAAATCTGGCGTGGTGAAGGATTTGACACCATGTTGGACACGGCAACCAAATCTAAGTCTCGGCTAAGTAGTCGTACAATGAGTCTATATATGTTTTTTGTTTTATTTTATTTAATGCCATGCCAGCTTGTTTTCTAGTTCAAAATCCCTCTTTCTAAGGCGGATAACTCCAAATCAACTTTTGAAAAAACCAGTAGGAAATTAGTGAGCTTTGCTATACTTGGCTGTCAGCTATGTTACTTTGACTCCGTGTCGGACCCTCGGCACTCGGACATGGGTATTTTACTTGGACACTTCATTTTAGTTCAAAACCATAGAAATTTTTCACAAGCCGAGTCGAACACGTGGACATGGGTACCCGAGTCCGACTAGCATAGGCTGTCAGCATATATTCTAGCTTTGCAATCTGCTTGGGTTGCCTTTTTTAGAGATGAGTGTGAATAGTAGATCTGAATTGAATTCAATGAAAATATGGAAAATTTCATCAAATAAATCTTACCTAGGCTTTTAGTTTCAAATTGCAATTCAAACAAAGGTCCTATCGAATACATGATCTATCGTCAATTTCAATTGTAAATCAAAATTTCCTACTCCCGCCGTTTTTTGTATTACACTTTGATCGGTACATAGTTTTTTTGGCAATATATATGACTTTTAATATAATACGTATAAGTGAGGAAGTTTGGGTGTTAAAAAATTATAGAATAAGATAGTGGAGTTAATATTTTACTGAAAAGTAGGGGATGTGAGAGGGAAAAAATTATAAAAAAGTAGTAGGGGTTTGGGTGGTGATTATGAGAGGAGAGAGAAATAATATTAAAATGTTGCTTTTTGCCAAAATTGGTAAGTGTAACAATAAAAGCCGCATTTGGTAAGTGTAACACTTGAAAAACAACGGAAGGAGTATTTGATGGAAACCCCCTATTATCAAATTGGTTAGCAATAGTGGTCTCTGACTTACAGGTTGACATAGATTATTTGTCAGTTGCTATTCCATGTCAGTTCGCTCTTCAATTTTCTCTTCTCTCATTCTCTGTCTTCATTTCCCCTTATTGTCACAAAATTCATTCTTCTCCCTTCCTTTTCGTTCTGGAAGCTTGGAAGCATATGCTCTCAATTATTTCTCCTCTTTGACCTCTACAACAAAATGTTTGAAGTTTTTTTTTTTTTTTCCTTTTCTCCCCATTTGTTTTGCCTATTAGCAGACCATGTGACCTTTCCCCCGTTCTTAATTTTTTTTTTTTAAAAAAGCTGTTCAAAAACTTGTGTCTGGAGACTCTGGACAATACTTACTATGCGTTTGGTGCTGTTTTTGGAAGAATTACTGGTGATTGTATCAATAGCTGGCAGCATAAAGCTTAACTCTTTGGTGTGTAGAATTTTTGAAGGTAATATGATATACTTGTATTACACTCACATAGGTATATCGTGTATATTTAGGAACACGTGCTTTGTCTTCCTGGTTTTAATTATAGCAAACTGGCAAATGGATCCTTGAGGAGATCTTTAGTTGCTGTGTTGCCTCATGGAGAAGGTCAAATATATCTGAGCTGTTTTATTGTCTGCATAAAACATGCCTTTTTAAATTCTGTAGTATTGCAATGCTCTCTGTTTCTATCTTCTTAATGTTCTTGTTAAAGATGTAAAAATGTTTTTTATTTATTTATTTATTTTAACCTAACATCTGGATTTTTAAAATGATTTTTCAGGCTGACATGCATGTGAGAGAGAAAATTTTGGTACTTCTGGATTCATGGCAAGAAGCCTTTGGTGGTCCTGGTGGAAAATATTCTCAGTATTACTGGGCTTGTGATGAACTGAGGGTAAGCACATTCAACTTGTTTTTTTGAGTGCTTGGGCACCCGTGGATATTATAAACTCCCATTTATGTAGTTATGGGACTCATGTCAGAATTTTGTTGTAGTCCTGAATGAGTACTATTTGCAAAGCATGTGATTTTGACTATTAAGCTCCTTAATACCTACTGTCTTTGCCTATATGGAGCGATTTTTAGATTCAGATTCTGGAGCTTTACTCTGCTGCCTGGCTGTGCTTGAATGGTTGGATTTCCTCTTCATAAGTTTTATGGGCCTAATGTCCTGTATCTTATGCTCTATATGGAATAACACTCTGAATGGCTTTAAATGTCAACCATCCTCCACTGGGCATTAAAAAACTTGTTGGCAATTTGTTTAAGTTTCATTTACTACTGCTATGCTGTCCATGCTTCTTCAACCCATTGCAAGTTGCAAAAGGAGGAGGGTGTGTGTGTGTGTAATTTGACCTCTTCGTCCACTTTTCTTGTAGAAATACATTTTGGCACATTTTACTTCAATTTTCATACATAGTCAAGTATCCTATACAGGTTAATGTCACCATTTCTTAGCGAGAATGAAAAGAAAAAAAAAATTCATAGATAGATGCATTGCTGTAGAAAACTTGAAGGGAAAATAATGTGAATTATATGAATTTGTAGCAATTTTTAAGATTAGTATAATCTTTGGATCATCTTCATCAATCCCATCTTTATGGATCATATTCTGATAACCTAGTTGCTCTGTACTCATTAACCTGTAATTGCACGAGAACTTCTATGTGGAAGGCGTAGTTGCATTGTATGCAGTTATGCACTGTACATCACATATCAAGACCCGCCCTTTTTTGCTCAAAATACCTAACATGCAAGATAAAGTAAAGGAGGGCTTTCTTGATCTTCCATTCCATCATGAGTACCAAGATAGTAAAGCTTGAAAAATGAAAAACAATGAAGGATAAATTCACGCATCATATGCACTGTAGTACTGTACATGAGAAGACCTTTTTTTGCTGAAAGCACATCTCGTACAAAATGTAGGGCTATCTCCATCTTCCTTTCCTTTCTAGAACAGGATGACCCCCGCCCGCTCAAATAAAAAAAGGAATACCAGAATTTAATTGAGTAGTTGGAGTAGCAGTATTAGGAGCTTTGAAGAAGTTGGTCAATAATCAGTCTCCGCCGTTGATCTATCACTGAGGAGCAGTTGGAGTAGGAGTATTAGGAGCTTTGAAGAAGGTGGTCAATAATCAGTCTCCGCCGTTGATCTATCACTGAGGAGCAGTTTAAGTAGTAGTAGTTTGACTTATAATACTGCTGTAGGTGATGCAGTTATATGACGACATTGATAGGGGAAGGATATTTTCAGCGTTAAAGATGACTAATGTAAATTTGTAACAGATCATCCCCAACGCAAAAGTAGAGTAGTCCTAAAGAGGGTCATGCTGCCCATGCATAAGCTGGCAAAACTTTTTGTTCTGTCTACTTTGTTACCAAAGTTGTCGGTTGTTAAAAAGGGAACATTGTTGACTCATTTGAAGGGGAAATGTGGTGGAATTAGTATGAAGATACTGGATTGACAGTTATTACCTTTGGATTTGTGGTACGCAATGTAGTTTTCTTTTAGTTGTATAAGTCTCTGTATAAATGGGGCTGTTCTCAGGATGTGATCCCCACTGAAGCTGGAATTATTTTGATGCTATATATGATGGGATTTTATGAAGAACGTCATTACAGTTTGGATTATGCATGTTACTTAATAACAATTCTCTTTTTCTAGAGTTGATTTGGTTTGGAGAAGGGATAAATCTACAACATAGAAAGATTTAAGATGTATCACAAACAATTTTATTTTGTTGGTATGTTTTCTGTAGTTTGTATGACTATGCTGTCTGTAGTCAACTAGTCATCTGGATACATTTCTATATCGACATGCTAATTGCAATATTTGCTCATGTCAGCGCTCTGGAATCCATTTTCCCCAGCGCTCTCCTCGCTCAGCCCCAGTGATTACACCACCAGTCACCCACCCATCAAGAGTTACTCAAGTTGGCTTCGGCATGCCTGCCAATTCTTCGCGGAGGCTGGATGAAGCCATGAGTTCTGAGGTTGAGAGCTTAAGGTACTATCACGAATATGATTACGTGCTCTTGTTCAGTAGTGTATATGATGACAAAGATTTGTCATGCAAATATGCATATTTTTGCCGAATATTATCCGTAACCTGTTAGCTGTGTTTTTGCCAGCAATTCGACTTTGGAATCTATGCAGAATGCGTTTGAGCTCCTGGATGACATGCTCCAAGCAGTCAATCCTAATGATCGCATGGTATGGAAACAACTGTATATATATTATAGTATTAGATTATGTCATGGATTATTGCTTCTAAAGAAAGGGTAAAAAAAGCATCTCATGTTTTTTTTTTTTTTCAATTTTTTTTGTAGTCTGTGAAAGATGAAGTAATTGTAGATCTTGTTGAGCGTTGTCGTACAAATCAGAAGAAATTGATGCAAATGATCACTTCTACTACGTTAGTATTGCTGGAATGAGCTTTTTTGTTACTTTTTGTATAATTTTTCGTGTGTGACCAGGTGTTGGTCAATTTGTTATGTTTTTGACTCATCTTAGTGGCCTGCTCATTTTGCAATCTTATTTTGGTTGGTTGGCAGGGATGAGGAACTTCTTGCTCAGGGTCTTGAGATGAATGATTCCTTGCAAAGTGTGATTGCAAGGCATGATGGAATAGCCTCCGGCGCTCCCCTTCCAAATCATAAGAGGGATGTCAGTGTTCAACAGAAGGAATCAGTTGAAGAATCCAATGCCAAAGTTACCGAGGCAAGAGACAAATCTCCTGTAGAGGGCAGCAATTCTCCAGCATCTGAGGCGCCTGTTTCAAAGGCTCTAGCTGAAGAGGAGGAAGAGGAGGATGAGTTCGCGATGCTTGCTCGAAGGTTGCTCTTTTAAAATGATTTATGATCCACTTGTTTAAATCTATTTTCTTTTAATATTCCAATCAGTTTGAGCAGCTCCTTTATTACTTTATGCTGGTAGCTTTCTTTGTGTTTCACACTTTCTAGACAATATATGAGGTCAGTGGAGATCTGCAAATCGAAATCACCACCATGAATGACATGATGCTCAGACTACAAAATCATGCACGCTTATGAATACTTGGGCCAACTTGGCTATAAATTATGAATGCCCAAAAATACATGGGCTAACTTGGCTACAAAGTATGCACATCCATGAAAACTTGTCAACAAGTCAACCTAGCAGTTGCATTTTTTAATATCTGCTTGGTCTGTATAACACAATAGTTACATCTGATTCTGGCACCTCAATTTTTTTTGTACTTCAAATCATTTAGTCTCTTTCTGCTTAAATCATTATTATTTGGTTTAACATGATCTTATTGCAGGCACTCAAAGGCACAAGCTGCACCTTCACATAGTGCTGGGACAGTTTCTACAGAAGATGCAGCCTCCTCCAGTGGTAGCAATAATGCACTAGTATTATTTGATGCACCTTCACCTGCAACTACGACGACAACTAGTTCAAAAGAGCAGGACTTTATTGATCTTTTGAGCCTTGTTCTGACTACAAGTTCAACTTCCTCTGAAACTTCGCAAGCTCCAACCTCAGCTCCTGCTCAAGACACATTTGAGGTACACATTTAATCTTTGTTAAGTTGACTGAATTATCATTATACTTGTAAGTAGTTATTTTTACTTTTCTGATAATTTTGAGTTTCATCTTATTGGTGCCTCTTCTTTTCAAAAATATCATGATTGACCATGCACATGGTTGCTTTTTGATAGGCATCTCTCAACAGTTATGTTGTGCCATGGGCGCAGCCTCAACCACAGCCTCAGCCCCAGCAAATGACACAGTCTTCACCTCAATTACAAACACATTACCAATCGATGCAATCTCAGATGCCAACACAATCTCCACAGGGTTACTCACAATTTTCTTCTGCCTATCCCCCACCTCCATGGGAGGCAACCTCCGGTTATGGCAATGGCCACATTCCAGGGTCTAATCCATACCAATACCCAACTTCTCAAGGAAATATGAACAATTATTCCATGTCTATGCAAGGAGGTTGGTCATCACAGAATGCATATTCACAATACGGAAATCAGCCAATGTATTCCAATCCTCAAGCTGCTGGCAACTCCTTGCCAATGCCAGGCATCCGTTCACTTCAGCATGCCAATTCCTTCCAAAATCCCCCATCTATGAACGACAACCCATACACAAATTCACAAGTGGCTAATAATTCTTCCTCATTACCTATGCATGGAGCTCGACCATTTCAGCATGTCAACTCTTTTCCTGCAAAGGTAGGCAATGGGTTAGGTATGAATGGAAACACTACGGTGTTAAATAATGGCTCTGTTGGTATCCCTTCTTCGGGGCAGAAGCCTTACATTCCGTCTTATCGTCTCTTTGAAGATCTGAATGTCTTGGGTGGGTCAGAAAGCAAGATCAAGAGTGGTCCGTATTCGAGTGCATCAGGAACCCGAATATGATAGTTGGAAGGGGTAGTAACGTTGGAGTTCAATCATGCAATGACCTTGAATTGGATTACTCACGCATACATGTGAATAGATGTGTATATCTTCACACACTGGGCTTGTAATTATTCAGACATATTGTGATGTTGGCTTGAACGTGTGGTGTTGGTACTTCCAATGATTTATAATAGAATTTAATAAATTATCTCGATTGTTCCCTAACCTTTTTGTAAAGTGCCTTTTCATATCAGAAACGTGTTCCTTTTTTCAGTTATCTTTTGTTTTTTCTTACAAAATTATCTTTTATATAGGAAAAATAAAAACTAATAATCTCACATTTGCAACTTTAGTTCAAAATATCCTATCTTTTCAAAATCTGGAAACAATTTCATTTTTGACACTCCTGCTGAAAATAATCCTTTTTACCCATAATTTGTTTAACAGGTTAATTTTTTTTTTTTTTTTATTATTTTTAATTTCCTAAGCTTTCCTCTCTAACCTCTTCAATGGCAGCTCCACGCCTCCACCGTTATCACCACCCTCTCCATAATGACCACCACATACACCACCACCTAACCCAACCTCGCTAGAAGAACCCCATCCAACCCCGCCTGGTCCAGCAGCTCCCCACCCAACCTCGAAACCGTACCCCAGAATTCCCACCCCATAAACCCGACCACCCACCTCAGCGACCCGCCTAACCTCCACCACGTACTCCCAAGTCCCAAATATACCCCAGGCCACCAAATCGGCAAATCCCACCCGACTCACGTGAAACTCTAACCCCTCACCCAACATCCCGTGAAACACCACGCACAAGTCGCAAACTGAACTCCCACCCTTACATCCCACCCTTAGCCCAAAACGAAATATCGTTAAGCCTTAAGTAAGCCACTTAAATGGGGAAGATTGAGAAAGCTAACTTGCCACTTTAATGGAGACTAACACAGAGTACGCTTAAGTGGGTTTAATTTGCTCCGGCAAGGGGAGGGTGGTTGGATCCAGCGAGCGGCTGATTCGGCAAAGGGACGAAGGCTGTGGTTAAGTGGAATTATTTTGAGCAGAAATGACAAAGATGAGATTATTAGTTTCCATTTTTCCTATTCATATGAATATATGATGATGGGCATTAAAATATAATGCGTAATATTATATGCATCTATAATTCTATATATTCGAGAGGAGTTATGGTTTTGACTTCTAATGTTAGACTACAAGTGTAACAGCCTAACAGGACTAGAAATTTCATATCTAACAGGAGTAAGACCAAGAATTAAAAGGCCTGGGGGTACTTTCTGAAACCTTTATGGGCTCTTTCTGTGTAAAACACTAAAACATAGAGCACGATAGACACCACACTAACTCACTAAGAGCTTTAAAACAATGGCTTGATCCAATAAATTGATGGAAACTGATCCGATTATACTCCCTTTGGTTGTATTTAAGTGTTTCATTTTGACTAATACGTATGTCGATTTACAAATTTGATCAATAACATCTATAATTATTAGTAAGTATAAATCATAATAATTGAATATTAATAAAATATTAGTTAATAAAATCAGGATTCCAATTAGACTCACACTATTCTGGACCTGAAATAACTCTACCCAAATCCAAATTCAACTATATTGTGGATATAATCCGACTCAACTATCTGATATGAAATTTATCAACTTAAATAATCTAACCCAATTCTATCCAAAAATAATTCAATTTGATTTTTTTTGCTAATCTAACCTAAATAAATCTAAATGAATAGAAGGATAGAACTTGATCCTATATAATCCCTACCTTTTAAAAAGTTTGTGTTAACTCTTATGAATAGTGCTTGGACAATAATACCCTCTAAAATGTATATTTACTCATTTGCCCTCATTAATGCTAATTACTTGATTACCTCTTTTTTAAAATCTTAATAATGGTGTGTGGACATTTATACCCTTAAAATATTTGTTTACAATATTCCCTCATTAATGCTACCAACAACTAAATTTGTAACATAAGTCAAACCAAAAGCGCTACCTAGACATGCGTACTATGGCGCGCGCGCGCGTTGGCTGCCCTAATATATATAAATTTTGCATAATTTATTATTAACTCTAGTTAGAAATATTAATCAAAATTATGCATTGTCAAACATGAAAAAGAGTGCTAGAAGTACGAAAAAAATTGGAGAAAGTAAATAAATCATTTGTAATTTTTAAGGAAATCTAGATATTTAAAGACAATTGGTATTGAATCCTAAAATAAAAACATCAATCAATTTAATTTGAACTCAAAACTCATTCAATCAAATATACTACACCCATATTATAGGCTATCCTGATCTTAATTTAACCCGAACTCGGGACTTGTCCAATCCAAATGTGACACAAACCTGAGGGTTGTTCTAGTAGCCCTATTAAAACTTGACTGTAACTTAAGTGACATTGTCCGGGCTTGATTACCTCTAGGAGTCTAGGTAAATAAGAGTACAACTTAGGGCGTGCTTGACGCTAGCTTTTGAGTAGCTTTTAGTGATTTAACCAACTTAAACCATTACTTAACAAAAAATATTAGTGTTTGACAATGTAATGGTTGGGATAGCTTTTAGTGGTAGCGGTAGTTTTTATCAAAAGTTAGAAATATTAGCTTTTGAAGTTACAAGTAGCTGTTGAAAATTTATTCTATAGTTTTTTTAAAAAATATTGATTTTTATATGTAACAGGCTAACAGCTAGACCACTACTTTACCAAACACTCATATCGAAATTATTTATGTTGACAACTAACAGTTACCTTCACAGCTATATTTTACCGAACACGCCCTTAAATTATCAAATTTATTATAAGAGGTTTAGACAATGTCAGAGGCTTGAGCAATTGATTAAACTTGCAGTCCTTTCGAACTTTCGAAGGCCGGAGCAATTGAGAATAATCTAGATGACCCAAGATGCGATGAATTTTCATTCGATATAAATGTTGGCGTTGCAAATAGCTATAAGTTGGTTAGTGGTCTAATAGACCATTAACCACCACCATGTTACATTCCACTTCCCTACCTGCCTGCACGAACCATTACATCAAGAAACCAAACTAATTTAAGAATTCAATATGTTCACATTTTATTTAATTTGTGAGAGGTATTCATCCATCATTCCATACCTCTAGCTTAACTATCAATGGCTTTTCAAATTAAAGTTATTCAATTGATATGGTGCAATCAATTACTCCCTTCGTTACGTGTGTGAACGGTCTTGTATTGTTGTACGCAAATTTTTGAAGGTTGTTATATTGGTATTTAGAATTGACAAGTGATGGTACATTAATGTTGTAGACGTACGCATGACAAATTATGGATTATTTGTTCGTTGATAGATAATGTGAAATAGAAAAGAATATAATTAGTTAGCTGTACATCTCTATACATACTTGGTTGTTTGTTGGTCCAAAACTAAGCTGGACAAGATCAATCAAAAAACCCAACCTAGAGAGAAACAAGTTTAAATTCAGGATTAAACCCTGCCTTATATAAAAAAAAGGTAAAAAGAAAATCTACTACAGAGTATAAAAAACATAACCAACATGTTACGCTATTGACTCTGCATATTATATTCCAAGAATGCAACATAATCTACCATGCAATTAATAAAGTTTGATATTAGATACATGAGTACTCCGTATTTCATAAGATCAAAAATCATAAGATCTTATCACTTAGAGTGAATGTCAGCTACCTTCAGTGGTTAAAATATGTCTTGGAGGTGGTAACAAAACTTGGGACGAAATCTTGTTTACCTCATTGCCTTTATCGCTCTCACTCTTAGAAAATAAAAAATCTGAGAGTTGAATTATTGTTGAAAGCCAATATCAACGTATTGTAATCATGCAGAGGCAGCATTTATTTTACGAAGTACTTCCTCCGTTGACTTTTACACTATTCACCACCCCTCCTTTGACCGTTTTGTGTGAATTATATGTAAGGAAAATTTTTGATGGTTAAATTTTTGCATTGACAAGCATGATAAATGAAACAGTTCAAGTAAAAAAAAAAAACAGAAAAAGTATGTTATTGCAACATCAAGAAGCTAAGGTCAACTGCCTAAACAACTGAATCGGCTTTCTAGAGTTACAATGCATTTTGTCAATGGATAAGCAAAAAACATTAAAATGTGTTTATTAATAATACTAAGTAGAGTCTAGCAACAATAAATTGTTTGCGGACGGACATTCGTCCAAGTTTTCTTAATATACATAGATGACGGGCTTGTCTTTAGTTCATCAAATGATAAACAAATTATCAAATGATATTTTCTAAAATAAATCAATGATTTTATCCCATCAAAATGATAGATGAGTAACATTAAATATAGTAGAAATTGTTATTTTTGCTCTCCTTGTAGCTTAGAAAGTATGGTGTTGTGAAGAGAATTTATTTTTATTTTTTTTCAAAGTGTTGTGATGAGTTTTTTTAGGTATGGATAGGAACATAATGTTTTAAACCTCCAAATTAATCAGTACCTGAGCAATAACTCTAATTTGGGGTTTAAATGTTAAATGAAGAAAGTACTAACAAATCTTCTTGAGGGAATAAATAAAGAGATAAATTGAGAAACAAAAGAATTAATTTAATGTCTTGTACTTAATTTGAATGTAGAGATGAAAAATTGAATAATAAACCCATCACTTTTTGAAAAGACCACGATTTATGCTGCAAATTCTCAAATACACACTTGGATTTCAGTATGATTTTCATTATATTTACGACGACATAAAATCCTTTCAAGCCTAATTTACCCATCTTCATTCAACATTGAAAATTTGAATTGTTTTTGAAAGATTACTACATGATCTAAGCCATATTATAGATTTATAGTATTAATTTAGAAATTATAATTGGACCAATTTTAACAAGCTTGATCAAATATGCGAAAGTCCTTTGTTTGACATTTGATGAACATTGATTGTCTTTGTATATTATTATGGACCGTTTGGTATGGTGGATAACTAGATTGTCTAGATACCTTACCAGTTTTATTGCGATGTGTCATGCATTCAATGTTAAGTCAGATTGTTCGTTGCAATAATAATCGGAACGTTAATGATTGAAAGTTATGTACTCGTACTATATATGCCAATTAAGGTCAATATTCAGGGATGGTTATACTTTTTTTTTTTTAAATCCGTTTAGGCCGAAAATAGTCTATACTAAATTATTCGGAAAATTATTAGACTTTTCAC